TTTCAAATATTTATTGTGGAATTTTTGGAATTTGTGACTGAATATCAAATGGGTTGCTTTCATTTGTTGAATCCAGTGATTTGAAGAGTTGATTTGGTTGCAGTGAGGCAGTTTCATTCATCACACGGTTCGTTTAGGAGCAGCGTTCTTGGTTTGGTTTTTACTGATTGGTGTAACTTTGATGATTGAATTGGATATTGGTAGTCATATAATATAGTTGTGGGTTGGCTTTGTATATACTCCTGAGGCATGGCAGGTGTAGATATTTCTAAGTATGCGCGTAGCCCTGTCCATAAAGCAATAATTTTGAAATATTATGCGGCTTTCAGGATGATAATCGCAAGCCTACCGCAGCTTTGTGAGCTGGCTGAGATCCATATCGAATCAGTATCGGTTGTTGAGGAAGCTGAGGCTGATGCCATTTCTGCTGTGATTGATCGACGAGATGTTCCTAATCGGGACACCCCTCTTCACTTGGCTGTAAAGTTTGGTGATGACACTGTATCCGAGATGCTTATGCTAGCCGGGCCAGATTGGAACTTGCAGAATGACCAGGGTTGGAGTGTGCTTCAGGAAGCAATTTGCAATAGGGAAGAAAGAATTGCGAAGATTATAGTTCGGCATTACTAGCCATTGGCTTGGGCAAAATGATGCAGAAGGTTGCCTCGGTTAATTGGGACAATGAGAAGGATGAGGGATTTTTACATGGAGATCAGTTTTCATTTGAAAGCTCAGTCATCCCTTTCATCTCGAGAATTGCCCCTTCTGACACGTACAAAATTTGGAAGAGGGATGCCAATTTGAGGGCAGATATGACTTTGGCTGGTTTCAATGGTTTCAGAATTCTGCGTTCAGATCAGAGTATTCTTTTCCTTGGTGATGGTTCTGTGGATGGAAATGTTCCTCCGGGCTCACTTTGTATGGTGTCGCACAAAGATAAGGAGGTCCTGAATGCTTTGGATGGTGCTGGAGCTCCAGCAACTGAGGCAGAAGTGCAGCAGGAAGTGACTGCCATGTCTCAAACCAATATATTCAGGCCTGGGATTGATGTCACTCAAGCAGTTCTTTTGCCTCAAATGACATGGCGGCGACAGGAGAAGACAGAAGTGGTTGTTTCCTGGAAAGCTAAAGTTTATGCTATGCATAATGTCGTTGCAACTATTAAATCGAGGAGGGTTCCTGGAGCCATGACGGATGATGAGCTCTTTAACTCTAACAATGAAATAGAAGCAGAGAGCGAGGAACTCGATGATATATTTACAGAGGAAGAGAGAAGGCAGCTTGAGATTGCACTTAAGTTAGACTCATCAGATTTAAGCAATGAAAACAGTAATGGAATTATCACACACCGCCATAGTTGTTATGAGCAAAGGGATATTCCCATTGAAAATATAAATGGTTGTAGAAATGGAGAAAATAGACAGGAAAAAAAAAGGATGGTTCAACAACTGGAGGAAACGGGAAAATAAGCAAGAAGGAGATGTAAAGATTGCTCCACCAAGGAATTCTTTGTACTCTGAAGAAGAGAAGTTATGTGATTTTCTAGAGGATTCTCCTTCTAGAAGTCTAAATAAACCTGGAAGGCACTCTGTGGAGAAGGTCATGAAGCGGGACGAGCATTGGAAAGTAAAGGAATCCAAGGCTTCGTCATCAGCAAATTCTGAGAGTGGAAATTGCCGCAAGGATGAAAGCTATGAGAATGAGTATAAGAAAGGGTTGAGGCCTGTTATCTGGCTTTCTCCAGAATTCCCACTACAAACTGAAGAGCTTCTACCGCTGCTCGACATTTTGGCAAACAAAGTTAAAGCTGTACGGCGATTAAGAGAATTACTCACTTCAAAACTTCCAAAGGGAACCTTCCCTGTCAAGGTATCCTCCTTATTTCTAGATTAGCTTTTCAAATTCTACATATGCTTATAATTTTATACGGTTTGGTTTGAATTTAATCAGGTTTCTTAGCAAGTAAGCTTTAATTTCTGATCTCAATCTTGGCTGATTTCTTTATCTTTTTGTGTGTATATGATCATAGACTTCACATTGGGATTATGCATCTCTCCTTGACTGGATGTGTTGCATCACCAAACACTGGTAAAGTAGAATTGGTTTTGTATTTCTACTTTTCCGTCAACACACTAACTCGAGATAAGCCTTTTTGAAGAGCTTTTTGCATTATGGATGTTGGGTGTTGCTCAAAGTTGTGTGCATTGCCATTTAAATTGTAGGCATTACTTTAATATAAGTAAACAATGCTGGAGATAGCTGATTGGATACAATCAAATGTTTCGAGTTTTTCTGCATAAAGAATTGGAACCCTAAGATTGTGCATGCATGTGTTTATTTGTTCATTTCTCTAAATGGATGTAGCTATTGTATACCCTTTATCTATAGTGCTGATAATTTTTCTTCCTCTCCTTTGGTGGATTTTGAGTATTTCTTTATGGTATATTGGTGATGATCATCGTTTTGGTGAATTTTGGCCATTACAAGTAATTGTAGGTAGTGAAATTTGGTGAATGGTGATCTGATGTAATAGAGGTGATGTATGAGTGAACCAGTAGGATGGGAGAGTTTCTTTGAAGTAGATTTAAGTATCAGATTGGGTGGCATTGCCCATTATGGGTATGTATTTGTCGGAAAGGGCATAAGTTCTTGGATTTGTGCATTTTCATTTAAAATCAAGGCAAAGCTGTAGATGTTTACAAAAGAGGCCTTTATAATCTATGAATTTGCGTATAGTGGTCCTTTTTTTGCCTTATGATACGTTGGGACGGGTAAAGTTTGAAGATGCAGTCCACATTTAAGGGAATGAACAATACATGGAAAATATGATAAAAACTTGTCTTTTACCAATTTTTGGGACAATTGACCATCGAAGTTGGAACAATCTTGTCTAGAGGATAAGAATGATGAATTTTGCTACTTTTTGATTACAAGAGACCTCTTAAAATTGGAATTCTTAACTTTGAATAAATTTGCAGTGAATACCGCCAAGTTTCCTTTTCCTTGTGGTTGAGAAACAGTGTTGAGTGTGTTAATGATTAAACCATTCCCTTAACCTATACTTACAAGAATTTGAACAAAAAGCTGCCAAATTGGCCTATTGCTCACTTTCTTCCAACCAAATTATCTTATCTTTTTACCAGATTAAGTCATTGAACTCTTAGAGGAAGAGATATAATTAGGAATAAGAAAGCTAGTTGAAGATTTTCTTTCAAAACTCCTTTTTTAAAGTGAATTAGTATTGCTAGTTTGGAGAAGTGACATTTGTAATCATTACATATCTATTCTTCTTTGACGTTGATTCGTTCTGCTGTAGTGATGGTTTAAAATGTTCTACATAACACATGAGCCTGTTATTTAAGAAAACCTTTTGAGGCTTACTCCTCATTTACTGCCTCACCTGAGGCTTCATGAAAAGCCTCAAAGTTTATGCCTTAAGTGGCATTCGTTGGGCTTATCCCTCGATGTACTGAGCGACCAAGTTGTTTGCCTGTTTTGTCTTGCCTTTCCTGGATCTTTTATTGCTCAGCTTTACTTTTTGGGCTATATTTAACACCTATAATGTTTCAAGTTTTTTTTATTTTTTATTTTTAATTTTGTTTTTATTATCATTATTATTATTATTATTATTTTTCGCTTTCCCTTCATATGAAAGAGAAAGGGGCAAGTAGACATTAATCAGGTGGAGTGCGACATAGGGGAATTGAATGTGTTGATAATTCCCTTAAAGATTCTATTGTCAGTGATTATATAAGAGACTTTTAGGCTGTTTATACTTCTAGTAATACATCACAAGTTTGTTATGTGATTACTAATTTGATGACTCAATCAATTTATGCTTTTGTGGTAGTTAAACCTTTTAAGATGGATATTTATTGTGGATTATGATCTATTAAGAGCTTATTTTGTATTTTTATATTTTCCTGAATTATTTTATTGGTTGTTTTGAGTCATATGCCTCAAAATGCCTTGAGGCTCGTACCTCACCTCACATTGGTAAAATACCTCATTACCCAATTGAGCGTTTTCAAAGATTACGACTCTGTTGTTTATGACAGGAGCCTCCTGTTATTATTATTATTTTTTTTCTTTTCATGCATCAATCCTAGTGCTATACTTAGCTTCCTTGATCCATCTCCTGGTCTAACTAAGGCAGTCTAAGTGAGAGAATCTTGTTTGGCACCATGAGGCCAGTTTTGTGGGAGCTAAATGTCACATGGTTACTTAATAAGGGTCAAGGCCGTGACAATCAACTGTCTTAAAATCGCTTTTTATCTTCTGACCTTTTAACTAAGATAGCTTTTCTCGTTTCAGGTTGCTATTACTGTGGTCCCCACGATCAAAGTGTTGGTTACATTTTCAAGGTTTGAAGAATTACAGCCATTGGACGAGTTCTCTACCCCTCCTTCAAGTCCCACTGCTGCAGGCAGAGAGAGCCCTTCAGTGTTGAATCCCTCGAATTCATCTTGGTTTAGGTGGATGAAGTCCCCTTACCAACACCCGCGGTTTTCTACTGGCTGTTCGACCTGTAGGATTGTAACCAATCAAGATCCATTTGCAATTCCATCTGACTATAATGGATCACGGCTGAAGCAAAGAAAAAGAAAATGCAAGAAAAATGGAAATTTAAGAAAGGAAAGAGTCAGAAGTAGTGATCAAAATCTCACTTGGGTGAAGAACAAGAAATCTGGTACTTCTTATTTGGGGTTAAAATAATCGAAGAACTGATTCTTGCATGCTATTGTGTCATTCTGGGTGGATAAAATTATCCATTGTTTGATCCGAGATTAGTTTTATGTACTTTTACGACAGAATCAGAAGTTTGGTTACAGCTGCGGGATATTACATATTCACTTATTCTTTCATTGGTGGTTTCGGTTGATTATTGGCAAATCGAACATTTACTTGTCAAGAAAAATGTCGAATGTAACAGTCATTTTTCTTGTTTTATATGCACCCTATGTAAGAAAATCATTCATTTTCCTTTTGTGAAGCCAATATGAAGGAAGGCACAAAATCATTCATTTTCCTTGTGTGAAGCCAATATGAAGGAAGGCACAAAATCTTCATTTTCCTGATAACAGAAAAATCATCTGATGGACAACTTGCTGCTACTATTTGAAATGGATAAAATAAAACTTCGATAAATGAATGTTTGATGAATTATACATAAGTTTATCCTTCTGATTTAACATACATGACTTTGGCATCACACAATCGTCATTGAATTATACACGTACAAGAATTGCGCACTCCTCGTAGTTCCTCTTCTTCTATAACACTGTAAAAATAAAAAAGGCAAGGTTAAAGATAATACTATGCATGCTAAATGTTTTGTGTTCCTGAAGTATACTTTTTATTAGTACTCAAATGACTTGCGTAAGTTGGTCAAAGTGTTGAACAAAGTATTCGAAATGTCACATACAAGGGACATGCAACTCTTCTACTTTTAGTAACAAAATGTCATAAATAGTATATCTTTTATATTTACTAAAACTTCATAAATACGTTTGAGACAATATCGTATACATTTTCGGAGATTTAAGACAATATCAAAGATGCTCTCCAAATTTAAAAAGCACACTAATCTCCCTTATTTCTAGTTTTGGGTATCAAATACGACTTTTTGAGTCATATATCATCTAAAATGATGATGATATACCCAAAATGCCCTTGTAAAGATGAAAATTGTTTAAACAAAATAGTTATTTGTGAGTTTGTTTATATATTAAATGACCAAAAGAGATATTTTACAATTTGAAATATTGTAGTAATTAATATATCATATTAACATAACACTTTATAACATAAAATGGTCATCATTTAAAAATTTTGAAGGTGTAGAGTGTTTTAATGAATAAATATATACTAGTTTTTGGCTAAATTTTATTTGAATGGTAAAAGGTAAATGTTTATGGTTAAAACCTTGTTTTAGTTTATAAATTTATAAATATGAATTTTTATTGATAAGTTTGCATTCGTTAATATTTAAACTATGTATACATCATGTATATTATTAATTAAAAAACTAGAAATCATTTATTACCAAAATTTTCACTAAATATCAGGTTTAAGTTTCCACTAAGATACATATTCAAAATTGTATATGCACAAAGTCTTTAAGCATTAATTACTCTTCACGGAGAACAATTTAAAGTATAACTAGTTATAGAAAATTTCATTTTCACGAACTCGCACATTGCACCGACCCAAGCACATTTCAAAGGTCAAGTTGGACGCTTTAGAGACTCACTTTGCACAAAAAATTATAATTTGAAATGTTTTACTTTCATTCAGTAATTCAGAGACAATCTGATTTGGCAGAAAGTGGTTGGCTTTTTCTTTTCTTTTCTTTTTTTTCTTAAATTTTCAAAGTGTCCAATCATGTTTTGACACGTGTCTATCCTATTTTTGAGCATGTCCCGTAGCATTGTTGAATTAATAATAAAAGAACATACCTCGACTCGAATTCTTGAACATCAGCAATATCTTTGCCATGTGAATCAGACCAACTAACTTTTCTTGTTCCTGTAGCAGCAGCAGCTTTCTTAAGATTACTCTTGAGAGGAACAGATGATTCAATTTGATGAATCCCATTTGATGCAATATTAGATGATCTTTCATTGACCCTATTTTTCTTGTCTGCAGAACATTGTTGTCGACTAACGTTGTTAGTTTCGTCCTCTTTGCTGTCTGAATTCCTTGCTGCTACATAGCATGAGCACACTAGAGAGGTGCAACGGTTATGCGCCAAGGCCGCCAGGAGTATAGAATTGAGCCTCGCCACCAGTTCTACTCTCCGGGTTTATATTATCGTGAACATGGTGTCTGATCTTAGAAGAATTTGGAAAGTGAAGCTTTCAAGGAGATTGGTAGTTACATTGAGATGTTCGATAGGTCGAAGGAGACAAAACTGGATATGCTGTTCTGTTTAGTATTACATATCAAGCATGTTCAGTGAGCGTGTCACTAGATTCATAGTTAAGATGGGTTTGTAGATTGGAAACTAAAGAAGGATGTGTTAAGATTCAGCTACAATGATAATATCATATACTCGTGCATATCCTCCACTAAGAGTTGTTTTCTTTTCCTTGGGCCATTGCACTCATTATCTTGGGTGAAATAGGTAAAAGAAAACGAAAAGAAAGTGAAAAAAATAACAATAATAATAAATGAAGTATTTGCATTTGGCTTGAAACTTCTAAAATTGATTGATTTCGAGATCGTTATTCAATAAATTGGTGAGAATCTATGTCAAATCCCTAATGAATGAGTGGTGTAAGAAGAGACTCGTCATGAGCACGAAAATCCTACAACGGTTATCGCTCGAACATTCACCACAAAGTTGCACTTTTTCCCGTCTTGTTTGATATCAGTATCACAAATCTTGGTGATAATCTTCTACTGTGAACTCTTACCGTTTTGTCTTTACCATTTGCAGCGACACAAGAAAACCTTGAATTTTTATTTCTATATATATATCTAATCATTGATCTATGTATTTTTGGGAGAAAAGGGATTTGGGGGGTGGGGTTGAAAATTGTGGTTCTCTTTTCTTTTACATTGCTTTCTTAAAGTGAAGGGGAAAAAGCACTAGGCGTGTGTGCTTTTAATCTAAAGCACTATTTTCACTCATAATTGGGTGACATAATTATGTTGTCCCTAAAATCTTCACAGTTCTTATGAATGTTAACATCATAAACAAGATAAAATTAGCTAGCAGATATCAATATCTATCAAAAATAATAGTGGTGTAAACCGCCAAGGTCGAGCATGGCCCAGTTTCGGTTAAAATGAAGATAGAGGTGTAATATGAATTAATAAAGAACACTAGGGGAGTACAATGAATCTTGGTGAATCATGAATGGTGGTGCTCGAACACTCTAATTACTAGAAGGTTTTATCATATATACGAAGATACAAAAAAAAGTCAAAAAAAAATAAACACATTAAAGATTGTGTACTGATAATTGTTTTTTTACACAGTTATTAGGTATTTTAATAAGCTAATTACTGATGTAATTGAGTAAATTTCTATTTATAATTGTGTTATTATGGTGTTTGTAGGCTAAAATTCCAAATTGAAAGAAAAGAATGCTAAAGGAAGGAAGAAGGACCAAAAAAGGGACAAAAATCATGACTTCGGGGACTAAAATGTACAAGTCAAAAAGTTCAAGGACTCAAGTTGCAAATTATGAAGGACTTGATTGAAAAGAAATTCAAAATTTAAGAACTAAATTGGATGAAATCAAAGTTGAAGGACCTGATATGCAATTCTTTGGGGATCAAACTGAAGAGAAGAAAAAAATCCCTTTTAAACACCCTTTCTCACTATTCATTCTTCATTTTGAACCAACCCTAGCCTTGAGAAGACAAAAGAAAGGGGATAATGAGAAGATTCAAGATTTCATCCCTAGTTTTCTTCAAGAATACATTTAAGGGAAATGTTTCTTCTTTCATTTTGTATCTTTTCATCCGCTCCTTTATTTTGTAATGGATTTCATCACATTCTCCATATTCTACGCTTATTTGATAATGGGCTAAGGATTTATAGTTGGGATTTACAATGTAACTTGACCTAAACTTCATTAATATCAATATATTTACCATTTAATGTTAACGTGACATTGTTCTTGTGCATTTTTTATTTTGTTTACATTTCCATCATTTATTTGGCCAATAGATGATTGGGTTAGGTGGTTTGTGCAATTATTGAGAGATGTTGTGCTTTCTAGACCAAAGTAATTTAATGCCTAAGTTGTTTTAGGATATAAAGATATACTACTAACTCTATGTGACCCATTGAGTTATTTCACTATAATTTAATGCGGTTGATTGCTTTTTTTTTTATCAATATAGAGATATAGTGGATAAAGCGAATCAATTAGGGTTAGTTTCACTCGAGAGAGATAACTAACTAAAATTGAAAAATCGGGTCTAACATTGTAACTTAGAAATTTACATTTTTTGTTTGTTGAAATATTAATGAAATGACGATCAAGTGAAATCATAAATCCTAACCCATCTAAAATTTAGAACCTTTTCACTTTCATAACTGTTAATTAAATTTAAGCCTAGAAGTATTTATCTTTATTTCTAATTTCAAAGAATTTAATTGTATGTGTGTTTTGCACGGTTAGTCGCTAACAATTAAAAAGGGATCAGACGATTGTGTAAGAGACAAACCTCTTGCGACAAAGTTCCCAAAAAAGGGTGTTTTTATTGGCGATGACTTTACAATTGGAAAATAAAACAGAATGCCTTCAAGGGGCGCAAGCACGAGTTACTGAAAAGAAGTGTTTAAATCTAAACTAAGAAATTGAAAGTTACATATTCTCTGTTTGAGAGTATTTGATTTGGGGTCTTTTGTTCTATGTCTTTTCTTCCTTTTATACTCCTTGGATGATCTCTTCGTGATCAACGGCTTAAAAACTGTTTGATCGCTCTATAACTGTCCACTTTCTTCATGGTGGCCAACTTGTCATGTAACTGCCTTCTTTAACTGTTGCCATTACTTTTGGTCGTTTAACCGTCTTCAATTGAATTCCTTGAATCGTGGAACGTGATAGGGCTACTCAATAACCGCTTCATTAACCGCACTTTTGAGTAACCATAACATCTTATGTTTGCTAAGATCTTGGGCGACTCAAAAGTTTGGACGAGAACAGGGTTACAGCTCTGAGCGACTGCATGGTAATCCATTCGCTCAAATTTTGGGCGACTTGCAAGCTTGGACGATGATATTACCGCGTTCATGGGCTTCCCTATTTGGGCCTTTATCCTGAATTGCCTGATTGGGCCGTTCTTTGGGCTATCTGATTTGGGGATCCTCTAATTGGGTTTCATTCCTTGGGCTATTCGATTTGGGCTGAACTTTTTGTGTGTCAACAATTACCCTCCAATATGGCAGAATTAATACCAATTATTAATTTTTTGCCATATTCACTTTGTGTTTCCCAATAACATTCGAAATTCTCAAGAATTTCAATCATTGTCTTCTTCCATAGCCTGAAAAGATGCGACGTTTACAAACCCTTATAACCCCTAAATATACGCTATTTCATTGCACCACTAAATTACGCCTCATTGTTTCGCGCTTCTCTCTCGCAATATTACTATTCATCTTCTTACTTCTTTGCTATGTTTTTTAAGCAAACTTCGACAAACTCTATTTCGTTTCTAATGGCTGCTTCACAATCTCAGTCTGGTGATTCCTTCAGTTTCGAAGACTTCCAGAAACTCCTCACTTGGCCATATATAACTCCGAACTTCCTTGCACCAACTAATGTCGAACTCAATGAGTTCTATCTAGGTCCTTCATTCAACAACACCGAGGCCATCGAACAAGCGGCGGTCGGTCAACTGTTCCTTTGTACTCAAAGCCCTCAATTTCTAAACTCTCTGTCGCTGAGGCCGCTTCGTGAAAGAGGTATTCGCACTTGGCCTAAATCTGATGTTGTTTTCTGTAGATGGTATGCTCGCCTTGTGGACCATGGTCCTACTAAGGCAATTTTTGATAGTGCTAGGATTTCTGATTTGTTAAAAATCTCTCTTCAACCCCCTATTTTTGACCCAGCACTTTTTCCAATCGCTTTAAATTTTTGGTCTTCTGAGTATAACACTTCTGTTTTCCCTCTTGGTCCCATGTCCATTACCTTAAGGGATGTTGGGGCCCTAGTAAATCTGTCACCTTTGGGCGATACCATTTTCCCTGGTATTTTGATTTCTGGTGTCGCCCCAAAATTTGATAAAAAACTCACCGACTCTTATTCAAGCCTGCAAACCTGTCATAACCACTCGAGCGCTGAGCCTTCCCATGTTGAGCGTGTGACATTTCTTCAGATTTGGCTTTGTAAATACATTTTGTATGTGCCAAGCATGAAGCCCTCCATGAGCTATTTACCCATAGCACACGAATTGGCGTGTGGTATGCCTCTAAATTTGTGTTCTTTCTTTTTAGCTGCCCTCTATAGAGGCATAGCTTCTCTTCAATCCCAATTGAAGAATGGTGCATCTCCCACTGGCAATGGGCCTTTTTGGTTCACTCAAATGTGGTTGATAGCCTATTTTCCATTGCATGGTGCTCCATCCTTTTCCAATCCTTCTGCTAGCTGCTATAGGCTAGCCATCGATCCCCTAACTCCTGTAAATATGTCCAGAAGGGACATTTTTTTCATTCTTTTATACTCTAGATTCAATCCCTTCCTTCTTTCCTTTTCCTCCCTTTTTGACTCCAGATTATGTGCAACCTCCATCCACTCTGGATAGTGCGAACACCTCTCTGTTCGTTTGGATTAAGTTTTTGACTGGGAGGGAGTTGTTCCATGATATTTTGACTGGGACCAATGCCAAAGCTGGGGTTGAAATATATGTTCCCCAATTTTTTGCTCGCCAACTTCGTTTTGGCCAAACTTGGCCCGTTCCCCCTTGCTATTCAAGAAATTCGATAGACCGCTTCCACACCATTAATAAGGCAGAGGCAGAAGCTATAGATGCTCGCAATATTCCTTTGACGAGCAACTTTTCATTAGCCCCCTTCAATCCTAGCCGTGTCATCCATCCCCTTTTTGAACGACTCTGGCTGTCAGTGGAGCGCAGATTGTTTGTGACTGATGCTAATCGTGCTTTCCATTCATTAGACCAGCCAAACATTTCTTCCACCTCTCCTGTTTTGGTCACTCCAGTGTCCATTAGGAGTCCCTCTTCCCCTGCTCGTGCTAAACAGTCTACTCGTCCATGAACTTCTCTTCCTGCCAAGCCCACTGTAGCTAAAAGTGCCCCAAGTCGTAAACAGCCAGCCTCAGCATCTCCCATTTTGGAGGATGATGCTGATGATAATGATGACACTCCTCTCATCGTCAGGAGGAAGGTAATTAAATTGGTTTACTCACAAGCATACCTTTCCATACTTGAAACTTTTCTATGTGCTGATACTTTATTTGGATTTCTCAGAAAAGTTCAACCTCTCCTTTGAAGGCTTTGGTGTTAGCAGCTCTTGCTCCATCATCCTCTGCTGAGGCTGCTTCGTCCAAACCAGCTGATGAAGGGACTACGCTTAAAGAGAAATCTTCAGTCCCAGAATCTTCATCACAACCAATGGATGAGCCACATTCTTCCCAGGGCGTTGACCCCCCAAACGTCGAAGCAGAAGGTAATTCATTTTTTGATGCTTTACCTTTGCTTATGCTATTGGTTTTTGATTTGTTGCTTTTTGAGTTCTGCAGATACTCCCATCAATCTGCCCGTTGCAGCAAGGTCTTCTTGCTTAGATAAGGGGAAGTCCTCATGAATGGTGGAGCCACAGGTGGTAGATTTGGTTGGGGATATGCCACCTTCCAAGATTGCTGATGAGGTAATCTTTGCTTCTCCTTTACTTTCACTTTGTTTAGTGTAGTGAAAACCTTCAATGTTGGCAACTTTCTTTGCAGGATGCTGATAAAATTAT